CCCGCCCACCTACCCTCTATCCCTATCTTATATATTAACAGCACTGCCATCCAGTTATTCTGCAAATCTGTCAGTACTATCTACGTTAAAGAAAAAAGGGTCCTTTCTCAACATCTTTCCTACTTAACGTGTAGAAGCCATTACCCTGCCCTGGCTGGGGCGTTACTGGGTCTCCTTTGCTGTCCTCCCTGATTCCCAAACCAGCCACTCCTCCGGTCCATTCTCCACACAGCAGCCACAGTGAGGTGTTTAAGTGTCAGTCAGATCATGTTCCCTGCTTGCTTGAAACACGTCAGTATTCACCTCACTGCTGATGGCTCAGAACAGTGTTCCGACTCTTTACCGTAGCCTTCAAGGCCCATGCGGTCCTTCTCTGTCCTCCTTTGGGGCCTTACATCCCATCTCCCGTCTCCCCTCCCTCCTTGTTGCCTGCACTTCGGCCACGGTGCCCTCCATGTCTCTGGAACATGTCACAGTCAGTCTGTCTTCCCATAGCTGGCTACTTTGTCATTCAGTGTCCTCAAAGATGTCTTCTCAGGCTACCTTTCTAAAGAATCCTATGCTCCACCACCCCATCCAGTCTCAGTCTATCATTTTCTTTCTAGCGCTTACCATTCTTTGCAATTGTTCACTTACTTCTGTATTGTCTCTCTATTACAATAGAAACTCCACAGCAACAGAACCTTCTCTCTTATTCGTCACAGTGGTGCCTATGGGAGGCCTTCAGTGCATTGCTTAATTACTGAGTGATTTAAACACACCAGCATGTTCAGATACAAGGATGCTTATTGAAGTATTGTTTGTATGTTCCTCAAAATTCTCACCCCGCTCTAGATAGCTGGCTGAATACTAGAGTTGATTACACATGGAAAAGTTCTTTTTAGCAACTGGTGGTGATGCTGGAAGCATATATGTGATGAAGTGACAGTACAAAAGATAAGTTAACAAAAAAGATAGGTTTGTTTAATTCACACTGAGTTTAAGAAACGAGACAGTATTTTCATATGAAGAAATTTCAGTTCACTGAATAGTGGGTTAATCACTACTGTGTTGTTCTGTAATTGTTATAAAGATGGAGAAAGATAGTTTTACATATGGTAATTCCTGGAACAACATGGTACTTTACAGTTTCTCAGTGAGCTGGTTTCTCTGGTCATGTTGTGTTTTGTTTTGTTTTGTTTTTCAGTCATGTTTTGATCACTAAAAATCCATTTTTTCTCACATAGCTTCTTACTGCTTCTTCCTAAACATCCCGCATTTCAGGGACTGTTTTTGATGATTGGCTAGTGTATCCCCTTCCAAATGTCACCAAAATCAGCATGCATCTTGAACCTTTGATTATTGTCTTCAACTTCTTCACTGGGTCATTAGAATTATTATTTTTGGTACTAAAAATAGCTGCATTTTACTTGTATTTCCCTAAAAGAGACACTGATAATGTTCATGTGTTCTTCTTTATAGTATTTTAACATTTGTATGAAATCTTATGAACAACTAACTCCCTTTGTCTGTTAATTATAAACTTCTTTTTGTGAACAATGTTTCTTTGATTGCCAAGACCAAAAATCATCAGTTTGGGTAGTTTTTCCCAACCTGTCAATATTAAAATGGTTTTTAGGGGGTAGAGTACCATTTTAATGCATACATTTATAGAGGAATTTTAACCAAAATCAGCAGAGATGCAATCATGTAGATGTAAAATTTTAAGTGCCATGTGATTAGCTGTTCTAGAAAGAATACGTTTTTACATGGAGTTGCTTTTATGCTTGATCTAGATCAAATGATGATTATTTGTAGTGTATAATACATTGTCTTTAATTTGAGCTTGAAATTTGATTTGTGTAAAACTTGATCAGGACAGGCTGTCCCATTTATCTTTTGTATCCACCTTTGTCTTAAAAGAATATCTTGAAAAGAATCTTAGAGATTTCCTATGTAACCTTGTTATGATGCAAATTATGGTCTTGCTAAGGTTTGACCAGGAAATGGCTGAGCCAGGACTGGAGCGTGAGCCTCTGTTCCTGCCTTTGCCCCTGCATATTTGGCCCTGCAGTCTGGACCTCACAGCCTATGCAGCTGCCTAGTAAATAGACTATACTATAAAGTTGAATTCTGACATACAGAATCAACTTAAAAAGCTTTGTATTTTGATAACACTCGGTGTCTAAGAAGTGAGTTCAAGGTCTGCCCCTCTGTCCTTCCCTTCCTGCTTTCTTTTTTCTCCTTTTCCTTCTCTGTCCACCCCCTTCTAAAATGTACCGATGTATTGCTTCAAACTACATCTAATACTTCCCAACATGTGCCACATTTCACGTTCACAGATAATGGCCTGATAGAGTGTCCGTAGAGACCAGCATTTTCCTGACCCACCTACTCTTTGTGGCCGGTCTTCTATGTTAATAATGCATATGTTTGTGAGACAGCTGACTGAGCTTTGGAGAGTAGCCTGTGTCCCTGGATGTTCCCCCTCCTCCCCTTTTCCTCTCTGCAAAGCTAAATGAACCGCATGGGAATTGAACCTGTAACCTTGGCCTCATTAATTTACCTTCTGTACGGTCACCTCTTGGAAATTTATGTTCTACTGTAATGAGATTAGGAGTGCAATTCCATTCATTCAATAAATAGTAGCACCCCTGCACTAATGGCAGCAGAGAGCCCAGAGGCACAGGGCAAGGTTTTCGCCCTCAAGGGTTAGGATCAGTACGCAGGTCACTAATGTAAGGCCGGAAGTGAGGACTGCTGAAAGGCGGGGGTAGCCAAGTGCTGCAGTGACTCAGGAGGAAGGCGAGGGGTGCTTGCGGCTGGAAGAACACCGAGGCCCTGGAAGGATGGATGCATTGCCAGGAGTGGTAGCAGGGGAGAGGAAGCGGGGTGTGCACACCAGCAGGGGTGCCCACGTGTGGCCGGCACGAGGCTGGGCACATGAGGGGGCCTACTGGGGAGGTTGGGAGGGGAAAGAGGACTTAGCTGTCCTACCAGCGTCGTCATTCGTGGTGGGGGAGGGGGGCGATGGAAGTCCTACAGTCAGAACTCTTAAACAGGAAAATTCATTTCTCTGCTACTGGAGGAGGAGTTGAAGGGAGGAGAGGCTGGTGTCAGGGAGGAACCCTTCAAAAGTGCGTGACAGGGGCTGGTACCGTGTTCACAGCAGGCGTTGAGGCTGAGGCCAGAGAGCAGACCCGGTAACTGTTAGATTTGACAGTTAGGGAGGTTTCATCCTGGGAGGCTCGCCGATGGCAGGACCCTTCCAGAAGCTCAGAGAATACAGAAGTAGAGATGTTATGTAAGGAAGTGAAAACAGGCAGTTGGACATGGGGGAGCGCGATGGGAGACAGATATGAAGATTTGGGAAGTCATTCACCAAGAAAGCTGTGGGAGCTGGGAGAGTGAATGAGATCAATAAAGGATAAAGTATAGAAATAAGAAAAAAAGGATGGCCAAGGGTCGAGCTCCGAAGAAAAGCTACACTGATGATCTAGAAAATGAGGACTCTGAAAAACAGAGGAGGCGTGTTAAGGAGAAGGGGCTCACTACAGTGTGACAGAAACCTAGGAGGCCGAGGGCTGTGAGAGGTGTGCAGAGGCAAATTTGCTCTTGTGTCATTGATAGCACGAGGGAAAAATAATTCATGTTTGCTTTAGTTTTATAATTAAAGAAAATTGTTTTAATTTGGATTTCACAATCTGTCCTTTTAATGCTAGACTCTTTTTTTTAATTTAATTTAATTTTATTATGTTAATCACCATACATTACATCATTAGTTTTTGATGTAGTGTTCCATGATTCATTGTTTGCGTATAACACCCAGTGCTCCATGCAGTACGTGCCCTCTTTAATACCCATCACCAGGCTAACCCATCCCCCCACCCCCCTCCCCTCTAGAACCCTCAGTTTGTTTCTCAGAGTCCATAGTTTCTCATGGTTCGTCTCTCCCTCCGATTCCCCCCCTTCATTTCCCTTTCAACTTCTCTGAATTTGTTTCCACTGCATACTTTTCACTCTCAAGACAGTTAAAAACAGATCTCATTCCTTTATATAAGGAGTGTAGTAGGACTTTAGAATTGGTGATGTGGTGGGTTTTATGATACCTGTTGTGACAGTGCCCGTTATTTGAAATCACTCATTTATTCAAGTGCTGACTGGGGACCTGCTCTGCACCAGCTACTATTCCAGACACTGGGGACACAATGATAAATAGCAGAAGAAAATCCCAGCTCTTACTGAGTTTACTTTCTTGTGTGGATGTGGAAAACAATAAACAGTACAGAAGTAAAGTAATCAGTATATTAGATGGTGATATGTTCTAGGAAGAAAAATAAAGCAGAAAGGGGATAGAGGGTCCTGAGGAAGGGGGCATTTTCAGTAGCATGGTCAGAGTAGGCCTGACTGAGAAGGTGACATTTGGATGAAGCCCTGAAGGAGGTACAGGAGGGAACTCTATAGGTATCTAGGTGAAGAGGGGACAGCAAGCGCAAAAGCCCTGAGGTGGGAGCACACACGGTGGGCTTGGGGGCTAGTGAGGAGGCCAGTGTTGCTGAAGTGGTGTAGGCAAGCAGAAGAGGTTAGGGAAGTCTGGGAGGGCAGATTCTGGCTCTGTGGTCACATGGGTAACTGTGACTTTTCCTTTGAGTGAGAGGGAAAGCCCCTGGATGGTTTTGAGTAAAGGAGTGAATAAGGATCATTCTGGATACAGGGGAAGGAAGGGGGCAAGGAGAAACAGGAAGATCAGCTAGAAGGCTTCTGCAAATCCCAGGGAAGAGGTGTTGATGGCTTGGACTACTGGTTCCAGAAGAGGCGTGGGAAGTGAGCAGAACCTGGATGTATTCTGAAGGCAAAGTGAATAGAATTTAACAGGTTGGAGAAAAAGTAGAGTCAGAGATGAGTCCAAGTTGCTGTATTAGTTTGCCAGGGCTGCAGCAACAGAGGACCACAGACTGGGTGGCTTAAACAGCAGAAATGTATTGTCTCAGGGGTCTGAGGGCCCAAAGTCCGAGATTAACATGTTGGCAGGGCTGCTCCATTCTGAAGGCTGTGAGCGAGAATCTGTTCCATACCTGTCTCCTAGCTTCTGGTAGTTTTCTGGCAATCTTTGGTGTTATTTGGCTTGTAAAAGCATCACTGCCTTTATTTTCATGTGGCATTCTGCCTCTGTGTGTGTGTGTGTGTGTGTGTGTTTGTCTGTGTCTGTGTCCTAATTTCCGCTTTTTAATAAGAACACCAGTCATATTGGATAAGGGTCCCACCCTACTCCAGAATGCTCTCATGTTAACTAATTGTATCAGCTATGACCCTATTCCCAAGAAAAGGTCACACTCTGAGGTTCTAGGGGCCAGGACTTCAACACAGGAATTTTGGATAGGACACAGTTCAGCCCAAACAGTTGCCATTAACTGAAATGACTGTCTGTAGGAGGAGCAGGGAGAAGATCAGCAAACTTACAGACGTGTTAAGTTTGAGGTGCACCTCAGACACTCAGATGGACTCATCAGGCAGTCAGATAAATGGGTCAGAAATTCCAGGGAGATGTCTGGCCTGGAGATAAACATTTGGAAGTCCTGGGCATAGAGATCACAGAGAAAGTGAATTTGGATAGAAGAGAGTTACAAAAACTGAAGTCAAGAGATTATTAAGTTTGAGGACCAAGACCAAGGCTCTCAAAAATGTGAAATACAAGCCCCAAGGATGCTAGTAGTTGTGAAAAAGCAGTTCCATGTTAATGACAATTTTAAGTTACATTCTAATTGTTCACGAGGTCGAGGGATTTCCCTATAAAGTATAAGAGAGTCGGACAGAGCGTGGATTGAGTTTCACTGGCTAATATGCTGAAGAAGTTACTGGTGCTGAAATGGAATGTTTTGAATGCCATAAAGAAGTCAAAGGACACTAATAAAAATAACAAAGAGCGCTTTTCTCAGAAGGAGGAACAGCTTTGGAGAATATTGTTTCAGTCCTTGATTTAAGAAGTCATCTTCTAGAAAGTCAGTCATGCTGCAGTGTTGCAGCAGCTGAATATTTTCTTCCTTCTCCTGCTTTTGGTGAGAGCATAGGTAAAATAGTTCAGACCTTTTTTTTTTAATTACCAGGTCAGAATTATTATTACGTTTTAGCTAATTGGGAGAACAGAAAAAGCATCACTGTAATGTAACCATTCTAGCCTTTTAGTATGTTTGAGTCTTTCCCCCCACATGCCTGCTGTGCATGGAGACAGATCTCGTGGCAGCAAGGTGAGGGTGGTGACATACAAGAAGTCTCTTCAGTTTTCTGAACATGTCCAGCTGGCATTTCTCCTAGCCATTGCCCTTTCTGCTTCCCCCGTCCCTTTTCTTGGTCTGGCTCTCATGCAATTGTGCTTCCAAATTCAGTTCAGTGGTCACCTTTTGGGAAGGGTTTCCCAAGGCATTTCCCCACCCTCCCAGTCTGTGCCACCATACTACCCTGCACCATAGCACTCCCATAATAGTTCATGTCCCCACTAACTGAAGGACAGAGACTGGGTTGGGGTATTTATTTCCTCAGGACCTTGCACAGGACCTGCAGGTAGGTATTCAGTAAATGCATGAGGACTAGGAATGAGTAACATCGCCTTCTTTGCCTGCTCAGAACACATCTGTCGCTGAACTGGGATTCCTTAAAACAGTTTTGTTTAAACTGTGCCATTAACTAGCAGTGTAATATATATCACAATATATATGAGAAGATCCCCCTTTGAAAGTATTCATATAGATTTTTTGCTTAAAGGGTTACATTTGTCCCTAAAAACTGATGCCCAGAACCCTTCAGTTTCTTAGCAGAAAGATACCTGAGATATTTACTATATGTGGCTTTTTTTTTTTTTAAGTATTGACTGTGTCCCTTCAAATTAGTAAGCAAAATGTAGTGATTTGAATATACCTAAATAGGGTAACATGAAAAAATGCAGAAGCTTGAAGGGATAAAATTGCTGGCAGTAGAGGCAAGAATTTTTAAATTTTAGTTAGTGGATTGTTTTGGAAATGGGAGAATTTTTTTATCTGGCATAACTGAGATGCATAATCTGAGTCTGGGTGAAGAGAGTAAAGTACGGTAATAGTTCTTTGATACCAAAAATACTTCCCTGATGACTCGGCTCAGGATTCTTCTCTTCCCTGCCACCTAGAATGCAAATAATATTTTCTGGTCAACTTTCTCAAAAATAGGGGGAGGGGCCCCTGGGCACTTGGTGGCTTAGTCCGTTAGGTGTCTGCCTTCAGTTCCAGTCATGATCCCAGGGTCCTGGGATTGAGCCCCACATTGGGCTCCCTGCTCAGCAGGGAGCCTGCTTCTGCCTCTGCCCCTCCCCCTGCTTGTGCTCTCTCTCTCTCTCTTTCTCTCTGTGTCTGTCAAATAAATAAAATCTTTAAAAAATTATAATAATAATTGTCAGTTCTCCCAAACCTTAAAAAAAACAAGTAGGGGGGCGCCTGGGTGGCTCAGTTGGTTAAGTGACTGCCTTCGGCTCAGGTCATGATCCTGGAGTCCCGGGATCGAGTCCCGCATCCGGCTCCCTGCTCAGCGGGGAGTCTGCTTCTCCCTCTGACCCTCC